TGTCAAAGCTGGCCGATTGACAGCCATCTGACTTTTTGGCCTTACTACTATATTTCCACAATTTATGTACCATTTTTATTCGTATTTGGCACATACATCATACATATCAGTGTGTTTCATAATCAGATCAAAGATGGCCAAATAACGGCTGTTTTAATTTTTGGCCATATTACTACTACACAGAACACGTGTTTTGATGTAAATAAACAATCTGTTGTATACGCCACTTGGAACTCAAGTTTCAAGGACACTCTCGCGACAACCCCTTTCAAACATTTAACGGGGACTGTGTCATTTTCAATGACTTGTTTTTTTTTTTTTTTTAAATATATACATATATACATGTATTCAGCTAGGCTATTAAGAGGAGTCTGGATAAGTGTTTTAAGATAAGGTTTTAGTAAGCTCAAATGTAATCATGAAATTCACTTCCATTTATTTTTATCTACACATGAACTGCAGTCCTTACATAAAGGATAGTTTATAGCCATGAATCATAGCACACTTTATTTGAAATGAGTTTAAAATTTTCTATTCATTTTGTGGGAAACAAGTTTCACTAAATATACATAATTTTGTTTCTTTGTCTCCTGGCATTATTAAACTAGAGTTCTCTCTGATAATCTAATAACACAATGAGACTTGACCCGTAACTGCATGTGACCTCTGTCTAATCGAAAGGCTATCAATCTAATAACATGACTCTGCTGTGACTTATTAAACGTGCTGATATTCCCTTTCTAAGGATGCCTTGAGCTTTCAACCACTTACACTTGACTGAATGCTGACTACTGTTTAACAGCTCTGCCAGTCTTGGTGGTGGGTGACCCAACACATGTATACATTTCCTGACTGTAGGTTCCGAGAAAACACCATAATGTCATCTTACTATTTTTAGATGAACGTGTCCTTGGTTACTGTGTCATACATTTGTAGTCCCTCCAGTCAAGAACATTCTAATATATTCTCAAACATAACGTTATATGCTGAAAATGCATGCCATAAATTTCTAATGAAATATTTGAATGATATTCTATTACTGACGCCAAATATTCAAAGGTTCCCAGATAGTATCATCGCGTGTAAAAATTCTAAAAGCAAGGACTTGATGACTCTATAGAAAACAATTCAAGAAACCAGTGTGCTTTGCAGACCAATATTATTGAAAAATTGCTTCAAATCAAATCAAATTGGG